TCCGTTTTCTTAATTACAACTGCGATATTCTTTAGTTCGCGCGATGACGCCGCCGCGAAAAGATACCGGAATATTTCTGCACCGCGAATTAACCCCGCGACCCGAACGCTTCCGAACGTCTCGTTTTGACCGCTCGAAGATCCAGATCGATCGATGGTCCTTTGTCGACGTCTCGTCAGGTGTTTCGCGAGACCGGTACTCGCGGTACCGGAAACCACCGGCAGGGCGGAAGTTAGGCTTTGGGGTGATTTTTGGTGGCTACGGTGATCGAGAGGCTAGGACAGTGTCGATGAGAGTGGTCCGATCGGGAGAGGAGTGGAGGCTCGCGAGCTACGTACGCATGTCTGGTATGGAATTGTGAAATCGCTGGACGAACGGATACGCCTCGAAACCGACGTTTTTCGAGCTCGCGATTAAAGATGACGTGGTTATTTCGTACAGGGGTAAGGTGAGTCGATCGGTCTCCTCCATTTTTTGACAATTTCAGCTCACTAGAATAGAAGGCTTGAATGACAAGCTGCTTGAAAGTTTCATTAGATGGTTTCTATTTTTGACGAATCTTATTTATTATTTTCGCTGTATTTCGTTGCTATTATGGAGCTGTCCGGTATTTATTATGCGGAGGATTATTTATGTATGGAGTCTTACTAATTTTGGGGATTCGGACGGAAACTTAAGCGTCATGACAGGTCGTTAAAATATGTCGATTGCTACAAAATGATAATATATAGAATATATTGCAATCTTAATTATTTGGAACATCAGGTTTTTTAAATTAAGCTCTGCGTTTAATATTTTGAAGAAATTGACAGATTTTCCAAATGTAAGTTTTAGGGTTCAAACCCCTTCTAAATTTTACAGAAAATTGAAAAATAGCTTTGACTTGAATACTTGATTGCATTTTAAAGTTTGATCTAAATTTCATTGACTAAAAAAGTTTTGAATATAAGCTTGTTAATTTCACTGAGAAATTCTTTAACATCCTTTCTCTTTTATTCGTTAAATAATAAAACACGTATTATTTGTATTCACCAGTAAATGTATTAATAAACATCGATATTCCACTTTCAGTAACTACAGTCTCAACATCAAAATTCCTGTCTTTCCTATAAAAAAAAGTAATATTCATTGAAGAATAAATTGATCATAATTGATAATCGTATCTAGTACATCGATACTAAAATACCGATTCTTGCAACGCAAAATTATTGATACAGTCTTAACTTATTCAGAACTGTCCTACTGCATTCGGTCGTTAATTATTTGACCGAATTAAATTCGTAATATCGATCGCTAGTAATTGATGTGGCGACAAACCTGTTAATGAAAACGCGAACAATGTTATTAGGAATAACAACATTATAATGATCGAATCAAGTGTTTTCAAATTCATCTTCTGTTTCGATCATCTGGCGCTAACAATAAATTGTCTGTTTTCAGTCCATTATAAAACCACGTGCCATTTTTCGCTTCGAAATTTGCAATTGTTAATTATTCATTTAGTTCACTTTATATTGTACATTGTAGTCGTTTCTGATGACTAAGATCTTCATTTGTGCTTATTGAACTTTTCACGTTTTAAACAGTTTTAGGTTTTAGATATTTTACGCATTTTACGTTATACAAATTTTTGGATTGCGAAGGTTAGAATGCAAGTTTTCAGAATTTCAAATTTTTGGAACACAAATTTTTAGATTGTTAGCTTGTAAATTTTTGAATATTTGCAAGTTTCCAAATTTTTAATTTTCAGGTTACAAATTTTTAGGTTACAGATTTTCAAACTTCTAACTTTTCAGATTACAAATTTTTAGATTACAAGTTTTCAAACTTTCAAATCTTCAGATTACAAATTTTCATACTTCCTAATTTTCAGATTGCAAATTTTCAAATTACAAATTTTCAGATTACAAGTTTTCAAACTTTCAAATTTTTAATTTATAATAATAATTTCCTTTTCTATCAAACCAATTACCAACGGCACTAATTTCCTCCATCACAATTTTGTGTACACATTTTCGATTTCCAAACGGCCGAACATTCGAATATGACCGAATATTTATCTAACGGTCAGATTGAAAGTCGAGTGACGGTCCGATTCGAGAGGCTTCGAAATGTTTGCAAATGCGGATTATCCTGTTCGTTGAAAACGGACGAGTCCTGTTTACATCGCGATCATCCGCCTTCTCGCCTCCTTCGGCACACGTTGTAATGAAGTAAATAGATGGCCGTTGAACACGATCGCTTTTCGATTCCGTTAAAATCACGGTCTCGCGAATTTCTCGATGCCGAGACGTTGACGTGCTCGAGTCGCTCGTTTTTGACGGTGACACGTAGAATTCGCTCCCGGTGTTCGTTCTACCTCGGGAATTGCATTTATCTTGACGCGACATGCAGAAAAATGCTCGGTCTTCAACCTCCTACAACAATCCCTTCTATCTTTTCTACGGATGTTTATTTTGTCGGAGAATCTCGGTTAACTTTATCCTCCGGTGATTTGATCAACTTTGTATTGTTTCGAATGGGGAGATTGGTATTAGGGAGGATGTTGGAGATTAGAGGTTGATGGTGGATGTTCAAGGTTTTAGGATGTTTAAGATTTTGGGTTGATGAAGGTGGAGGATGTTCAAGATTTTGGGTTCAAGATTTCGGGTTGATATTGATGGAGGATCTTTCAGATTTCGGGTTAATGATGGTGGAGGATGTTCAAGATTTCAGGATATTCAAGATTTTGGGTTAATGAAGGTGGAGGATGTTTCAGATTTCGGATTGATGATGGTGGAGGATGTTCAAGATTTCAGGATGTTCAAGATTTTGGGTTGATGAAGGTGGAGGATGTTTCAGATTTCGGGTTGATGATGGTGGAGGCTGTTGAAGATTTCAGGATGTTCAAGATTTTGGGTTGATGAAGGTGGAGGATGTTCAAGATTTTGGGTTCAAGATTTCGGGTTGATATTGGTGGAGGATATTTCAGATTTCGGGTTAATGATGGTGGAGGCTGTTCAAGATTTCAGGATGTTCAAGATTTTGGGTTGATGAAGGTGGAGGATGTTTCAGATTTCGGGTTGATGATGGTGGAGGCTGTTGAAGATTTCAGGATGTTCAAGATTTTGGGTTGATGAAGGTGGAGGATGTTTCAGATTTCCGGTTGATGATGGTGGAGGATGTTCAAGCTTTTGGGTTCAAGATTTCGGGTTGATATTGGTGGAGGATATTTCAGATTTCGGGTTAATGATGGTGGAGGCTGTTCAAGATTTCAGGATATTCAAGATTTTGGGTTAATGAAGGTGGAGGATGTTTCAGATTTCGGATTGATGATGGTGGAGGATGTTCAAGATTTTGGGTTGATGATGGTGGAGGATGTTCAAGATTTTAGCTTGATAATGATGGAGAATATTCAAGATTTCAGGTTGATAATGATGGAGGATATTCAAGATTTCAGGTCGATAATCATGAAGAATATTCAAGATTTCAGGTTGATATTAGATGTTTAAGATTTTGTGTTGATAATGGTATTCAAGGTTTCATGTCGGTAATTGATATTCAAAATTTCAGGTTGATAATGATATAATAGATATCCAAGATTTCATAATGATAACGATAATAGATATCCGACACTTGATA